TAAATAAATAAATAAATAAATAAATAGGACCTAATTGGTCAGAACATTGGTAGCCAACCTCCTTCTCAACGCAAGTCCAAAAGATGGAGTACTACTCTTCCACGATAGGTAAAGGTAAAGGTTCCCCTTGAGAATTTGTCTAGTCGTGTCTGACTCTAGGGGGTGGTGCTCATCTCCATTTCCAACCCATAGAGCTAGGGTGCTGTCCAAACACAATCTTCCATGGTCATGTGGCCAGCATGACTAGACATGGAACGCCGTTACCTTCCCACTGTGGTAGTCCCTATTTATTTACTCGCATTTTGCATTTCGCACGCTTTCAAACCACTAGGTTGGTGGGAGCTGGGACAAGCGACGGGGGCTCACTCCGTTGCATGGATTCAATCTTACGACTGCAGGTCTTCTGACCTTGCAGCACAGAGGCTTCTGCGGTTTAACTTGCAGCAGCACCACATCCCTGACAGCGCCACTATGTCCCTCTTCCACTATACCATACAGTAAACATACTTTCCCCTACTATGATGTTTTGGTGTTGTAGTAGCAACACTCAGTCTTCTGAGTAAGTAAAAAGTCATATCATTTGGAGTTTATGCCAGTCTCACAGGCCTTCCTGTTCCTGTTCAAATTTTCTGCAAGCCACCTTTGTCTGTGGCAAAGCAGAATCTATGATTCAGGTTGGTCACTCTGCAAGAAAAGCTACCAGTGGGGAGCACTGAACAGGCATCTGTTTTTATCAATATCCTGAATCAATAGGGAGCAAATTCTTGGTCAGAATGCTGGATTCCTAACCCAGAAGATCTGGGTTTCAATCCCCTCCTAGCCATAAACCTACTGGGTGACCTTTGACCAGTCCCAGGCTCTCAGTCTGGTGTCCCTTACAGCAGTGGTCCCCAACCTTTGCCCTCCAGATGTTCTTGGACTTCAACTCCCAGAAATCCTGGCCAGCAGAGGTGGTGGTGAAGGTTTCTGGGAGTTGTAGTCCAAGAACATCTGGAGGCCCAAGGTTGAGGACCACTGCCTTACAGCATTGTTGTCAGCATGTAGTGGGTACAGAAGAGCCACATACACTGACTTGAGCCTGGTAGAGGAAAGGCAAAATATACATGCAACACATAAATAAATATTTACTTTAAAGAGAAGTACAGTATATATGATCACTTCCATCCTTTTTAAAAGGCAGAGTAATTGTCACTTGCAGTCACTTGCTTCTCCCTAACAGCTGCCAACACATTGCATGCATGAAAGCCAGATCCAGAGGTTTCTATAACTAAATTAGATTTCTTTCCTTTTTCTCTGTCTCTGAACAGATTTCCTAAAATTATAATCTACAAAATTAAGTACCGCTTTCTGGAGTATTTATTCCTCTTTTTTTGATAGTCACAAATTAAGTACTGAGTCGCTACACTGTACCAATATACATACTAAAAAGTATAGCAATGAGAATTGGTCAGAATATTCTAATTCTTCTTTTAGTGATGTTTCGCTATAGCGAAGGTTAATCCAGAACGGATTAACCTCACTATGCGAGGCACCACTGTACATACTAAAAATCCTAAGTACCAGAGGAATTACCAAAGTATAGCAACGAGAATTGGTCAGAATATTCTAATTCTTCTAGTTTTACAAAATACATGCACAAATCTTAAGTGTCACTCTGTATAAAGATCACCACTTCAGGAGTTCTAATAGAACTCATTTCTTTGGTGTTTTGGATTTAGAAATATTTCAGTGTGTGCAGGAAAGGCTATTACACGAAAAAAGGATCCTGAGATTATAACTAATCACAAACTGAATATAAAGCAGCAGAGTGATACAGCTGCCTAAGAGGATAAACCGCAGAACCAACATTTCCATGGCAGAGGAAATCATGTTTCTTCTATATTTTATATTTAGAAGTGAACTAAAATCCTGTTTCTAGTTTTAGATGCTTTATCTTAAGAGTGATGCAGATAACTTGGAGTAGTTTCAGAGAAGGACAATTAAGTTGGTGAATGGCAACTAGAATCCTGGTAAATTAGAATCCTGTTTCTAGTTCTAGATGCTTTATCTTTAGAGTTATGTAGATAACTTGGAATAGTTTCAGAGAAGGGCAATCTAGTTGGTGAATGGCATGTAAAACAAGTATGTGAGAACAGAAAAGGTTGAAGGAACTGGATATGTTTACCCTGGAGAAAAGGGAGAACATAACAGTCATCAAATATCTGAATAGCTGCCAGATAGAAGAGCGCAAAGACTTGATGTAATCCTACTCTCTGGAGAAGTACACATCTATTGGCCTTAAGTTATCAAAATGGAGACTTTCGTTGAACATTAGGAGAAACATCTGATTGATTTGGGCAGTTCAGTAGTGGAACCGGTTATTGAATGGGCCACTGGACTTTCTGTCTGGACTGCTATCAGCTATGGATGTCCCAGTTCTAGATTTCCTACATTGTGAAGTAGGGGCACATCTACCTTGAGTAGTGGTGGTGAGCACTTCAACACTGGAGGCATTCAAGAGAAAGTTAAATAGCCATCTGTCAAATATACAGTGGTGCCTCGCTAGACGATGATAATCTGTTCCACTGAAATCGCTGTTTAGCGAAATAATTGTCTAGCTAAAAGCATTTCCCTATTGGAATGCATTGAAACCTGTTTAATGTGTTCCAATGGGGAAGAATCGTTGTTGTCTAGTGAAGATCGGCCATAGGAAAGCCACTTTGCGAACCGCCGATCAGCTGTTTAAATAGCTGTCTTGCGAAGCTTAGGTCCCAAAAACACCCATTTTGCGAGCGTGGAGGGAGCTGTCAAAATCGTTGTCTAGCGAAAATTGGTTTGCAAAGCAGGGACCAAACATTGTGCAGCGAAATTCCCCCATAGGAATCACTGTTTTGTGAATCGCTATAGCGATCGCAAAAAGTCAATGTCTAGCGAAAAAACTGTCATGCGGGGTAACTGTCTAGCGAGGCACCACTGTACTTTGATTTTGATGCCTGTGTTGAGGAGGAGGTTGGATTCAATGGCTTTATAGGATTCTTCAAACTCTATTATTCTATGATTCTATATGGATTAGATGGCCTATGATGTTTCCACGAGCAATGTGAGTCCATTAGTGTATGTAAACACAAGGATACACAACACACATATCTTTAGCATTTCACAGAGAGAAAAAGGCAAAGGTTCCATGACAGGGAGAACTGTCTTTCGTTTTATCACAAGGCCTGAAGCATTCTAATAGTTTGTCAAGGAGACTCCAGATATACCACATAAAAATATTATGGAAAACAATGTTGTTTCACAGCTCCTGTCTAGAAGTAAATAGATCTCAAGATGGTTTAGTGATCTCTGATATCCTAGACAGATGCTAAGCCAATTTGGGGCTCAGATGGATGAGGTTTCAGATCTGCTCTTTAATGCCAGCTTGGATGTAACGTAGCCATTTATGACATGGGAGGAGTCATGCTAGGTGCAGGCATGACATTCCCTTGGGAACACCATATGTTTGTCTGAGGCTGGACATTGAGCTATTGCTCCAGGCTACAGATGCCTTAGGCTCTAACGAAGGCAGTCTAACTGTTGTGATATGATGCAGTGGTTTCCAACAGAGTTATCAGTCAGCACCCACCCATGACATTTCCCTCCTGCTCATTAGAGCTGGAAAAGCAGATGTTTGTTTTAAAGGAAGGAAATCACAGTGAAGGAAATCACAGTGCAAGAGCTCATTACAGAACCAAAATTTCCAGAATTTTGCACTGTCTCTAGAAACAACCATTCCCCTTCAATTACCATTTTTAGGAATAAAGGATAAGCACCTTGCCAATGTCAAAAAAAATTGATCTTTGTGACAATTTGTTAAAACCACCAAGAGTAGAAATCACACATAGATTTGCACCATTACTTTCCCTGTATTTGGAGGCCAGATAGATTGGAAGTGATCGCCTTGCATATTGGCAGCATGACAAACTAAGAGGTTGGTTCTGAATTGAAGGCTGGCTTGAGATGAAGGCTGGCCTGAACCAACAATCTATGGGGCATGTGGCTGATCTCAAATTAACCTATGAAGGATACCTCCTGCTGTGAGGTCATGCTCAATAAGACAGGCTTCTCCCTCCTTAATGAGACCTGTAAAAAGATGGCAGAGAAGATTGCAATTGGGGATAGGGGAATCCTTCGATTTTGATATTGTTCAGTTTCTCAGTTTGCTAGCTTCTAAATGCATTTTAACTCATTTCTGCTTCAGTGTGCATATCTGCAAAATAGAGTCTGTGTATGCATTTCTTATGCATTTTTACAATGTTCTGCAAGAACTTCCCCCTTCATATGCATACTTGTGCATTTTTCCATGCCTTTTTTCCCAGTCACACATTTTTCTCCACTTTTTGAAAAAATCTATAAAATGTTATAAAATGTGGGGTTCTGTACACATGTGTTTAAAACTGCACACAGATCGAGGAGGCGTGGGTTATGTAGATTGAAATAAACTTCTCTCCCATCCCTACCTGCAAGAGTTATTCATCTCAAACTATGAGGAAAGGCAGAGTCTCTTCTGTATTAATGCAACTAGCAGTCAGCAGACATACTTAATGCAGAAATACTTGATGTTACAAGTGGTGCTGACTGGCAACTCTATTGGAAACCATTGCTTCATGAAATCATCTCACTGAAAAATTTGCCTAACTCATGCTCAGTTCATCTGTCTGCCAAATTTATATGCACTTCAAAGAATTATTGAATTGTGCTGAAGAAAGGTGAGAACTCTTATAAAGTGGTGGAAAGAAATGGTTGCATACTGATTGCCGAGTACCTTGGTGACAGAAAGCCTGGTCAAGCACAGTCCCCGTCTCAAACTCTCACTCACAGCTGATCCTTTTGAGGTTCCTGAGCATACATCATGTTCCTTTGCTTGGAAATGTCCAAAGGAGCTGAAACAGCAAAATAAAACTAGTTAAATTGCAGAAAGAGGTTCTCTTCACTTGCAAGGCTGTTGAAGAAAGTATTATTTGTAGACCTGTTCTCTGATGTAGCTCAGTTAGACATGTAAAGATTGTGTCCCACAAGGGAAAGAATCTACTCTAAGAAAAAACATGCCTGCACTGGTTGTATATGACAGGTCTCTGCTTCCCCGGACCTGCTGAAATGTCTTTCTAATCTGCTCTGCTGGATGTTAGATATAAGGATGTGCATTCAGATTCAGAAATACAGTATCAGGACTTCACTGAGTAATGCCAGATTTAGATAGTTCTGAATATCTGTAATAATAATTCTGAATAATCAGAGTTCCATTCACTTGTATCGACTAGACACAAAAGGCCCTGGGGTAAGAATAACCGATCTCTAATATTAATTAATTTTGTGTCTACAAATGGGATTTCCATTGGAAGGGTTTGTGTTCTGCTGTAGCAGAATCAGATACCTTCCTTTGGTTAGAGTCTGCAGGTGGTATGAAACATGGGTATGGTAGGACAAGCAGGCACTTGGGGAAGGCTGCAGGAATGCTGCCGGCACCCATTGCAGCAGCTTCTCCTGAGAGGAGTGGGAGAGGAAAAAGACTGTAACTGCTATTATGAACCCTCCAAACAAAATCTGCCACCCAGCTGCCTTTTTCAGCAATGACATTTTGAAAGAGAAACATTGATGTGCCGGAGATGGACAAGGACGGCACCAGCAAACAAACCAACACCTCAGCTTGGGCAGCAGCAATGCTATTGTTTTTGTGGTTGGGAAAGAGATTTATGAAGAGCCTTTCATATCCACAGCTCCATCATATTCAAGGAAGAATTTACTCACAAACTCCATTCCCAGAAAATCTCTCCTGTGCAAAACAGAATAGTGGTTAGTAGGAGCTCCCCTTCAAGTAGATATACATGTGATTGGGGGGAGAGTGAGGGGAATCAGGTGGGCACTATTTCAGAAGTATGTGACATGTAAATCACTCCAGCTGCACTTGCCCACGATGCCTGGAAGTAGTAATGAAGACAAATTAGCAGTCCCTGTAAGGAACATACAATCAAAACCTGGAACTCCCAAGAAGTCAGTTATCTCGAAGCATTTTCAACAGTGTGCGACAAATACTCAAATGGGTCAGTGCATGCACCACAAAAAGGTGCTCAGATGTGGGCAGGACATGACCATCTTTACAGTCTTAGCATGCTCAGCCACCTGAAGACTCAGCACTTATGCACATTGCTGATAGAAAATGAAGTGGATACTGTGGGGGCAAATGGCTTCCTTATTGTGAAGGATAAGAATCTTCAGAGGACAGAAGATGAGTCATCAGCCCAAGGGAAACAGGGGGGTAAATGGGCAAGTAAGAACAGATGGGAGGCAGCAAATGCCAGATCCACATCTTGAGAACAGATTCCAGGTTACCCTGGAGTTGCTTGGAGGGGGTCCAGGAAAAGGATTTCTGGAAATGTAAAAATGTCAGGATTACCTGTCACCTAAGAGAGATGATGGCCTGGAAACGGGGATGAGCACCGCCCCCTAGAGTCGAACACGACTGGACAAAATAATTGTCAAGGGGAACCTTTACCTTTACCTTTTAAGAGAGATGATAGCCCTGGAGAACATTGGTTTCCATAGGTTTATGGTAGAACTGGCGGAAATGTAAAAATGTCAGGATTACCTGTCACCTAAGAGAGATGATAGTTCTGGATGACCAGCTATTCTCTCTGGAGGAGAACACTGGTTTCCATAGGTTTATGGTAGAACTGGCACCCAATTACCAACTGCCATCCTGAACAGCCCCTTAACTGCAAGGTAGTGCCAAACTTATTGGTATGTCAGGCAACTGGTACCACCACATTCAGCCAACATAGTAACCTTAGTCACCTGATGTGCTCACAGTGTTACCAATCATATAAGGGGCAGAAGAGGAGCCACGCCGACTGCTGCTTTCTTCCATCACTGCATGACCCATATATGTGAACAGAATATGTTGCCACTGTTTCTATACCACCACTGGGTAGGCAACAGTTTAGGAAACCTTAAACATATACAAAGAGAAAAATAGTGCAGTTATTCCTCTGAAGCCTGCCAAGAAGTAGGCATTAGAAGAACGTGATGTTTGCTACTGACATGTAACTTGGCCTTTTTCCAGGAGTGTTGGTCTGCTCAGGCAAGGTCGGCTTAATAAAAAGGATATACATAACCAGGACAGACCAATTTGCAACCTAAACTGTCAGCTTGAACAGCTTCCTCACAGTAAGATTAATCCCAAAGTATGCAGAAATGAATGAAGTAGATTAATGAATAGTACAAGTAGCTCTGAGCACACTATAGATCATAAATACTACACATTACAATGGGATAGGTATAGAAAACAAGTCATTTGTCTAGTGAGAAATAAAATACAAATGGTCTCAGGAAGGATATAGAGGCTGTAGTGGCTTTGTGCATAGGCCAGCTGATTAATAGGTCAGAAAATGTAAATCAACTCACAAGCAACAGGGGAATAATGCTGTTCCCCTTTTGTTGTCCAATTTCAATCGGTGCAAATCCAAGTCTTTGAAATGAAGATAATTGAGGGCAAACAGTTTCCCGCCTTGGGCATTCATGAAGCCCAGAAGGCTCCTGTCAGTCTTTTTTATTGGTAGATCAGGTATCCCCAGATGGCCCAAGGGGCCCTCTGTGACACGTTTATCTTCATGACAGTGAATGGATAATCTCTCGTTGCTTTCGGCAAGTCATGTGCTTTTTAGATTCATTCAGCATTTCTTTCCAGGCATATCACATGTTACATTCTATATCCTTGAACTTCTCTTTTTTCATTTGGCAACGGTTTTCTATTTTGAAGAGAACATACCCAATTTGCAGCCGAAATGGCCCTGTTAGCCCAATAGGTCACAGAGGTAGATCCTAGTGTAAGATCTGTAGCAGGAGCTTAGCTGATGACATTTGTGTCTTCCAGAAAGGCACTAAACTCTGGGTCAGTACCCCTCAGTCCTTAAAAAACCAGAGAGGATGAAAGGAGAGGCAAGTTGCTGATGACCACTGCAAAGGTACCTCATTGCATATGGCTATTCCCTCACCCCAAAGCACAATCTTGCATGGTACATCAGGCTGTGAGAGTGTGACTGGCCGAAGATCATTCCGTGAGTTTCACGGTTGAGTGGGGTATTTTAACTCAAGACTCCTGAGTAGAGATGTGGGTATTTGTATACAAATACAAATATCCTTGCACAGGTGGCATTAACGAGGGTCCAGTCCCATGGGGCTAGACAGTCCACTCACCGATCTGCCGTGGACACGGACAGCGCGATTCTATGAATGGCTCCACAGTGCGCGATCTGCTCGCCACTCTTGCATTTAGTCTTGTCCTCGTGCCTCCTGCCAGGAGTACAAGTGGATTGTGTGCTGTGGAGCCATTCATGGAACTGTGTGGCCCACATCCGTGGTGGATCGGTGAGTGGACTGTCTGACCCCATGGGGCTGGACCCTCACTAACACCACCTGTGTGGGGATATTTATATTCGTATACGAAAACCCCCATCTCTACTCCTGAGTCATTGTCCAATACTCAAACCATGTTAATCTTAAATTACAAACTTACTTTCTGAATTTAATCAAGAATCACCTTCTTTATGAGAGGGAAGTGGTGGTGGTGCTACTGGCAGTTGTAGACAACCACGGGCTGCATGGGAAATAGAAAAGTTTGGAGAAGTTCCTCTCTTTTTGCATTATGGTTCCCAGAATTTTCCAGCCAGCAACAGTGATTAGCCACATCACCTGAGAAATGTTGGGAGTTGCATTGCAAACCAACCAACCAACCACTTTTCCAAGTTCTACAAATAGTCCGAGTTGGTTTGTCTATTTTCTGTAATGTCTACATCTGTTCTGAGAGGCTGATTTGCACTCTAAAGACATTTGAACCCTTCATACAAAGACTGAAGGAGAACACAAAGATGGAGATTCCAAATCTCATTACTACGGATACAGCGTAGAAACCAGACCTCAGCCTATTTAATACTGGGGGGCAGCACCCCCAAAAAATGCAGCCAAGAAAACCACCACTGGCACAAAATGAGAGATGAGCTGAAGTGACCCACCAGCAAAATGTTCAATACCAGATTCTCTGCTGGGCAAAGATAATCTAAACAGCTTATGGGATTCCTGAGGGAGCAATCCCACAGAGCCTGCCCTTTCCCACTGCCAGCAGCCGTACTTGTTTACCATCAACTTGTTTACCATACCTCTCCATGGCTCCAGGTCTAGTAAACATTATTTCACCAAGAGCCTTGGGAATATCCATGGATTTTATTGAGAACCCATCCTGTAATAATGAGAACAAGATCTTCACCTCCCTATATAAATAAAAATAGAGGAGACTGATGTTCTGCCTGCTTGACAATGCCAGCATCTGAACTGCCATTTTCTAGGCATGGGCACTTTTCAAGGAAGAACCGGATGAACAACGTGAATTACTTCAATTATGTTTATCTTCTCTTTATATGGTTATTTACAAAAGAGCTTTCAGGCTCTGTTGTTATGTGCCATCACATTGCTCGTACTGGTACCGAGCAGACCATTTTTAAAGCTTTTGTAGTACTTCTAGACTTTTCCAGATCATGTGACAAGTGGTGTAGCAGGAACATACCAGGAGTAAGCAACAGTAACTGTAAAGATGTACATTAACATTATGTTACTGTACATCTTTAATTCTCTCCAAAAACTATGGTATGTAGGTCTCCACATGCATACAGCCTGGAATACTCCCAGAAAATGTTCATACCCTGTTTCCCTGAAAATAAGACCTAACCTGAAAATAAGCCCTAATATGATTTTTCAGGATGCTCGTAATATAAGCCCTACCCCAAAAACAAGCCCCAGTTAAGTGAAACTCTGTCTCCACTATTGTGCAGCATTGTGCAGCAACCAGAAGATGATATGACTGCATTTGAATAAATGTAGATTGTTGTACATG